TGGTGGTGGTGGTGGTGGTGTGCTGGTGCTGTTACTGCTGTTGACGAACATGTTGTTGGTAATGTTGCTGCTGTCGCCGTGGTCATGATCACGATCATCCGATCATCATCATGCAGCAAAAGACATGTACAGCATAAAACTTACTGTCGCGCCTGTACGAACATGAGCGCAGGGGGTTCGGGTTGTACAAGGAACATGTGCGCCGGTCTTCGCAAACACAAAAGCGATGGAGTTTGGTTCCATGCGTCATGCCTTTAAAAGGAGATGTCCCTAAACAGCTCGCACAGCTCGAATTCGTGACACTTTGGTACTAAGGTTCATGCATCGGCGACCCTGTGGGCCACTGGAAACAACACACGTGCCTACAGATCCGACTTTGAGGCACAAGTGGAATCCTCTCGATGATCAAGCATTCGTGCAGATTGGACCAGGGCTTCTGGTGCTCATGATTTCGGGCCTTTTGCTTCTACCGAGGTCTCGGCAACGAATTATACAACCACAAGGAAGCAACACGGTTCAAACTCCCATAAGACGAAGACATCTCCTGTAGCCGCCAAGCGATCAAGGTTTTTGCACCAGGGAGCCTCTGGCCTCTTACTGTGGGCTCAGCCCATGTGGACCCGTCGCCGAGGAAGATTGGCCTATCGCATGCCAGATCGATCCACTAGTTGGGAGTTCTGTCAGCTGGCAGGCATTGGATTCCTTACCAAACGCTTTGAGCGTCATCTTTGTGCGAATCGCAAACTTGAACACATATCGCATCTAACCCAGGTTTCCTGCACTCTCGCAGCTGAATTGCGATGGCCCTCTGGACACTTCAGTCTGTTGAGGGAGATTTCCTGGGGCGAAACCCGAAGCCTTTGGGAAACAAGGCGCAGCAACCTCATTCCCCGGCATGTCTCCCAATGGATGAGCCCTACCGTAGCCCTGTAGGTCTCCAGTAAATCTCCACCGGTCGAATTCTGCCTAAGCTGTCTGTAAACGTAGACAGAGAGAGGTGCAATTGCAGGGGGGGATCTCGGCATGTTCGGCAGTTTCAGTTAATGCCAGTCTTCGCAAGCATTCTTAAGGCCTTAGGCTTAGGGTTGTCTAGAGTTGCAGGGCCGAGCCGCTGACATCCCAATGCTCAGGGTTTCCCCTTTTCTCTTTTCGCTTCAGATCTCCTGACAAGCTGTAGCTTCAGCTTCGGAGTAAAGCTTCCCCATACGGCACACCATCCCTCCGAAAGTGCTGCATGCTGGCTTGCTGCGTCAATCGTTGAATGTCAGAGTGTTCAACCGTTTGCTGCAGGTCTTCCGGCCTAGAACACGCCCTTTCAGCGGCAATATCTAACAAGCGCGGCCTGCTGGATAAGATCAGGTCTCATGCCTGCAACTTCCTCCTCATGAACTCCTGCGTGTTCCTCGGAGCAGAAGGCATGTAAGCCTATTCTCCCAAGCGTCTGGCTCTGCATCTGTCAGTGTCTATCTGTGCATATACAGCCAGCCTGCATCGTCTGCCCACACCAATGCATGACGCGAGACACCCCTTCCCCCGGGAGAATGTGCACTTCCGTCTCTTTCGCTTTTCAGATCAGCGAACAGGAAGAGTTCTCCCCACCCTGTGCACGAGTGCGTATCCTCCCTCGCTTTCTCAACTCTCTCTGCACGCACGTGTCTGTGACGACATCTCTATTTCTTTCTTTCTGCCGGGCTTACGGGTCGTCCGATGTTTATGGAATGGCCGGCATTTGTGGTCTTTGCTGACGGCATCTCTCTCTGTGCCGCTGCACCCACTACGTGAGGGAGCATGACACCCGCCAGTTCAGCAGGCTTGAAACTACAATATCAAACAAAGGCCATGTCATGCAGGAACATCAGACGGAATTTTCAGCCTTGACCTTGTCTGAACACGAGGACGCTTCGCTTCGCTCTCAGCACTCGCGTCTGACGTAGGGTTCGCTGCACGAAACCGTTGAAGCAAATCCTCACTGGCACATCGAGGATTCTGACATAGAAGGTGCGCGGCTAGAGAATTGTCTATCAGGTCTGTCTGTTGGGGGCCCTTCCGTCTGTCCGTCTGTCCGCCTGTCTGTCCATATGTCCGTCTGTCCGTCTGTCCGTCCGTACTGTGAAGTCTTTCCTGATGTGATTCAAACTTTTCGAGTGTATAGAGCCGCATGACGTCGCCAATGCAAATTTAAGACACAGAAGCCGCTTTCCGACGCTCACGCAATACCTTCAGAACCACTCCCTAGCATGTTCACCGAAAGCCAAAGACAGTCACGAAGGCCACACAACGTCAATGCCCGCTCAATGTCTACCAAGTCACCTGTCCATGCGGGCTTCCTGAAAGGACTGAGAGTTCCGATGCCAGCGGAGAAAAATCCTTGGATTCGGGACCCCCAACAGGGCACAGGGTTGCTGCAAGCATCAGTCATGGCATGGTCGGACATGCAAACAGAACAAGACCTTGGTCAATTGGCATCGCCGCCTGGACTGACTGTCAGACTACCCTCGTCGAGGCTCTGCTCCTTCGCATCACCCTGGGTGAGGGGTCGCGCATCCTCCCAAGAGTACCATGCCGTTAACGTCAATGAAATTTACGAGTCTCCAGCCAACTTCCAACTCTTAGTGCCTCTTTTGGCCCCCGCATGAAAGAGTCTTCGCAAAGTCGACCGCCACATCTTCCTGTCCTCGCGTCCTGGCCTTCGTCAACATCAGCATCACCACATCATTCGGTGGCTTGCACCCTCTTCAACATGATCACCACTCGCAGCACCACCGAACCACAGTCACCAGCGTCACCATCACCGCCGTCGGCAATATGACAACATTGATCTTACAGCAAGGTTGCGGAGGTGGCCCAATGCTCCAGCACTCACACACAACATCACGAAACACTCACTAACGAGCCCATCGAAGCCTCAACGTATGTGAGGCCGTAGTAGCATCCTCCGGTTGTGTTCCCAGCCTCGGTTGATCATTTTTCGCGGCACCAAGTTGAAACCACGCGGGGCTCCCTCAGTCTTCACCCCCATTATGCTCCTTCGGACGGCGTGTCCTCTGTAGCCATGAAAGTCACACAACCTCCGTCGGACCAAGCTGCAAGGTTCCAGAAGTCGAGTACACGGCTACAGATGATGTGCTCATACCTGCAAGCAGTCAAGTGGAAGAGAGAATGGCCGAATGCGGAAGTCAGAGGGACAACTTGAGACAGCTACACATTTACCGCCACAAGGCTAGACTCTAAACGAGCCTGAGCCAGAATAAAACTAAACCAGAGCCAAACCCTACAGAACCCTGAACCCAAGCTTCTGACCTTGCACCGCTGAGTAGAACCATTGTGCTACTTTGGCGCCTACCGGTGTCCAATTCTGGCAAGCAATGAAGGAAGTTGGCAAGGCGATCCGCAGCAGCACATGACCACAAAATCATGATTAGCCGGGCAACTCGTAGACGCGCGAAGGGTCGGCAACCGCCTGGCAAGAGTTGACATATCGGGCGGAGTGCAAAAAAACGCCCCTGGGCTTAAATCCAAAGGAGCCTGCAGCAGGATCTCCAGCAGCGACTCCGACTGCTCAGAGGACAAGACGGGGTGCTCAAGCTCAGACAACTTCTCCGCCAAGGCCTCACAGAGATCCAAGGCTTGGCTTGGCTTCCGCAAATCAGAGGCCATGGCCCCATGCGCACAAACACACCATACTTTCATACATCCATACGTACGAGTACTTAGATACTTACTTACTTGCATTATTTAGCTACTTGGTTAATTGCTGACTTTTCAGCATTCGCGCTCGATCACCATCAGGGAAGGTTTGTGAGTTGTGACTTACTTGGATACCTATTTTCCTACCTTCGGAACTACGTACTTACTTGCTTGCGTACTGTCGTACGTATGTACGTACAGACTGACTTGTGCATGCATGTAAGTATGCACGTACATATGCATTCATGCATATCTCTGTCTTCCGTTGCATCCTGCTTATATATACATATGCAGCACACCCACGTATTCATAGGCTTTGTCGTTTTTTCGATGTCTGCATATCGGCATCGATATGCATATCTGTGTCTATATCTATATCAACATCAATTTCTGTCTCTAATCTATACCTAAGTGATTCCAATCTAAGACTTATGTGTCTAAGTAGCTATATGTTTATCTCATTTACTGCTGATATGCCAGAAAACTCGCAAAAAAAAATGAAACTTGTTCGATGGATGATGACCAAAAAGCCAACTTCGCACATCCAACAAACTTCAACCCAAAGCCCACGACTAGACGCCCAGGCCCAAGACTAGAATCAAACCGGAAACCCTTAAAACCCAAGATCTCAACATCTCGAAAACACGTCCCTTTTCCGACGGTGAAGTTCTGGCAAAACCCTAAACACCGTCAACACCACCGTCAACACCCTTTTTTTTGCTACTGAGCTACTGGACTTAACACCCTGAAGCCTGAAACCCAGTGCCTGCGGTTCGAGGCCCTTCTTCACCGATCCCACGAGGTTGCGGAACATCGGCCCTGACCGCGCTTTTTGGCTTAGTCTTGCTCACAGATCATATCCTTGGGTACCGGGGGAAGTACGCAGGGTCTGGTCTTGTTTGGGGTCTGGTCTTGTTTGAAACTTCAATTCTGTTACTGCTCAGTCGGGGTTGCTTGGCATGAGGAGCCGTTTCCCGATTCAGTGGCCATTATGATAAGTGTCACTACTCCCTGGACATCCTTGGACTATCCATTCTTATTCGTCACTACATGAGGCAGTATGATACCAGCCGGCCCAAATTATTCATTGTGACGCTCCCTTGCTGCTCGCTATTGCTCGCTTGATTCTGAACACTTGCGATGCGTGCTGGCATCAAGTGCTGACGCGCCTGGCATAAATACTGGCTGAGGAAGAGGAGGAATGACTCCGTCCAGGTATCTTCCTGGAATGACAAGCTTAATGGTGGATTCTTAATGGTGGATTGAATCTAGAATCCAGTTCCTCACATCTTTCCAAAGGGGCGGCCGCAACACAGATGGAGGACTCAGCCATGGTGGATGGCCACAGCTTCGGGGTGACAGAATCACGACTGTAACACATCATTTCCAGAGAGGCTGTAGCGAAACTCGGTTTGGTGCACCACAACGGCCAACATATCGCGGCAGGACAGAAGCTCCAAAGTTTCATATGTAACGTCGAAATCCAAATTTCGGTTCAACCCCCGAAAGCTTGCAGCACAAGCATCTTTGGTACTCCAGGCTGTTGAACTCGGATGCGTGTGCTGTGAATGTGGGTGAGGGGTGCGTGGCTTCGCTCGTGAAGCTCCGGCTCCAAGTCTAGGGTGGGTTCCGACTCTCGAGCTGCATCTCAACAGCAACGGATCAATTCCAGGTACATGATTACCCGAGCCGTCCGCATGAATCAGCTGGCCCAACTGACCGTCGACCAAGCCACGGCATACACTCAGACACCCACCAAATCGAGGATCAAGCACCCAAGACAAACGACGCACCGCGATCACATGAAACCACATCCAAACTGTTTCAGGGTTTCAACAAAGGACTAAGGGACAAGCTATGTCTGTGGTTGCGATGGTCGGTAGCACTGCAGTTGACCAAATGGCCACTAGCTCCAACGAATGTCCCTGATGACAAGCTCATGCAGATTGCCCAGATGTTCAATCTAATCTGTCTTCGCTGCTAGCCTTCCGCATGATATTGTAGGCTTCTGTTGTTGGACACAAGTCTGAAAACTTCAGTTCAAGCAAGCAGGACCTTTCATGGACCCTACGTTCTTGACGAACCGAGAGGAAATGGGATGGCGACTGTTGGGTGTCTTGATAACATGGGCACTTGGAAAAAAAACTCCTTTTTCACGAACCAATCGTGAATCGTGTGGGCGCAGAACGGTGCAGCTTCGCAGTGTCTAAGTACTGCGTCGTCGTCGCAACAGTCCTTGCCGTCGTCAGCGTCGTCCTCCTGCTCGCCCTCGTGGTAGCGGCTGTCAGCAGAGGGGTGGTGCTCGCGGTAGTGGCAAGGGTAGCAGCATTGGTTGTTGCCAGGTTGTTTCCATCGTCGTCTTCGTCGTCGGCAAAACATGCAGTCGGAAGGAACAAGAATCATCCCTCCTATCTCTGTGCAGGTGGTTCCTGCCCTGAAAACAGAGCACGCTGGGCATGCCAAGCCATCTCCGGGTTCGGCAGCCCACCTCCAAAATTAGCTATGTAGGCGAGGGGCCAACTTTGCTTGGTGGTTGGCCTGCCGAGTCTTCTCCAGAACTTCCTTGCTCAGGCGAAGCTCTGGTGCCGTCTATCTGGGGGATTGGAGCTTGATTAGGATGCGCGAAGAGAGCCTGTGAGTGTTATGGTAGGAAAGGCTGCCATGATTCACTGCTGATCTCACGTGATGCCTGGGCGCCTGCGACTCCACTTGATGAACGGCTCAAATCTGGGCCTCGACCGGAAGTGTGCGGAAGATGTCGTCGGCGGTTAGCAACCGCCTGAAAACGATCATCAAGCTATGCCTAACATGCCCGAAGAAGCAGTTGCAGCCTGCATGACGGGACGTCTTGACCCGAATTTCACGCCAAGCCTGACTCACTACTGTAGATGTCGACTTGGCGACGTAAAACTCAAAACTGGCAACACAAACTACCTTTTGGTGAACCCCCTATCCACTTCTGCAACGCAGAAGTAACACAGCTATTGTGTAAGGGTCAATAGATGCAGATGTTGGGCCGCGTCTGAGCATGCTCTCGATTGGTCACCACTCTGAGCCGCGCCTGGTGCTCATTCGGCGGACGGCATCAAGGCACACCGAACCTGGGATGGTTTCTGGCCTACAAGTTTTGGCAGAGGGTAATCTGGTCTCTGCTTCGCTGTGAGGTTGCTCTTGCTGCTTCTCGGTGGGAAGGCGACGACATACACCACAGCCACCAGTAACGTCCCGGGCTCTGCAGTTGCGAGTTTTCACGAAGACAAGCGGATCATCTAATCTTCTGCTGACCTGCATCCTTTCTCTAGCTCAAGCTCCCTCCGGCGGCGGGCGACCTGAAAGTCTGAAAGTAACCCTATCAACACAACGCAGGCTTCGCAGCACAAGAGACACAGCACGAACAATCTGCGGAAACTCAAGACTCAAGCCTTCAGGCAGTGACTGCTCCCGACCTTCGGAAGTCCTCAGGCGCCTAACCTAAGACGAAATCTGCCGAAACAATGTCTCGCCAAGCTGCAAAACCCGAAAATCCCATCACAGTGATATTCTTCGCAGGCCATGCATCGCTGGTGGATCCTGGCCTTGGGAAGCGTGGGATGTCCAACTAAACCTGGACACCAGGATTTTTCGCTCTGCCTGCAACTAATCTCATGGACACACCAACGGGCCTATTACTTGTAGGCGAAGGCACCTTAGCACGTAGCTGCTGCCATCCGTCGGCGCAGGCTGCTATCTCAACGCAAGGTCTCGACAGTTGCATCTCCTGCCACGGGAAACCAAGCGAGACGCCCGGGCAGTGGACCCCAGTTGGTGCCAAAAGGGATCCCGAACGCCTCCAGAAGAGCCCGGAGAGTGTAGTTGGGAACAGGTGGCCTGGGACAGCAGAGCAGCGTGGAAGCGAACTCACCAACAAATTCACTTCACCTCAAGGATCTACCAACGAAGGTTGGTCATGGCTACCGTAGAGCCCACGAAGCTTTCGATAAGACTTCCAACACGAGCCTATTAACCGTACTGCTTGTGCGCAAGGAACCTAACCTCCCAAAGCCAAGTGCAGCTGAAGAGCAGTTCCTCCACGATGGGTCCCCGGCAGACGGGGCAAGCGGCCACTCCTCCCGATCCAAAACTCAATCAGTCCCTTTTCAACTCCTCCATTGACCCCGTTTGCAGCCGCGAAGCCTCTGACACAGCGCAGACAAAAGCTGTGGCCGCACAGAGGCAAGGTAACCTCGGCGCAAAATTCTGGATCTTGCATTACACCTGCAATAATGGCTAATTTCCACAAGCGCAAGCTGTCGCAAACTGCTGGCTGCGTAGCCGGCTCCTCGAAGATGTTGAAGCAAATCCTGGGCATTGTCTTCAGTCAGTGCCCTAACCCCGCCCACCCACCCCTCGACCTACCACGCCTCGTTGGTACACAGAGCAACTTCGGGATGCTCTGCAAATCGAGCAATATGCACTGCATGTCACAGGAGCTCACAGGAGTAAGGAGCAACCTCCATTGCCTTTCCAATCCTTTTGCATCCGGGCTTGTGAAGTCGGCCTTTCCAATCCTAAACATCATACCCCTAGAGCATCGGCTTTTATCGGTGTAGCGGTGTAGCAAGGCAGCACAGCAACAAAGGACGAAACCATCGGCCCTGGATGCAAAGCTGTTTGCATCCGTGCCGCGAGCAGGTGAGGGCGGCGCATTCTGAAATGCCTGGTTGCTGTCTCGACTCGGCCAATCCTTTCCCTGAGTTCGATCGTACATTTCAGCATGTACACCTAAATTTGTCTGCATATGAAGGTTTGTCTTGCTGATCGCTGATCGCTAATCACCAAATATGGCGTTGGAGCATAGGCTGCGTTCTGATGCCACATAAAGTGCGTTGTCCGTGCGTGCCTGTGCGTGCCTGTGCGTGCGTGGATGGGTGGGTGGGTGGGTGGGTGGGTGGGTGGGTGGGTGGGTGGGTGGCTGGGTGGGTGGCTGGGTGGGTGGGTGGGCGTTTGTTTCTTTCTTTGTTTGTCTGTTTGTCTGTGCTTTTTTGTTGGTTTGCAGATGTATCTGTGCATGTAAGCACATGGGATTGTTTACATGTACCCATGTATGCAGAAATATATACCTCTACCATGTCATTCGTGTACGTGTATGTCATAGTATGTGTATGTAAGTCACCATGTCATGTATGTATGCATGTACGTACGTATGTATGTATGTATGTATGCCAGTGTATATATGAACGTGTGCGTGTACGTATGTGTGCAAGAACGTATCCATGTATGAGTTTGTGATGTATACAAGCAGGGTGCATGCATGCATGCATGCACGCATGTGTGTGTGTGTGTG